ACAGAATGCTCTATAGTTTTTCATTCCTTGAGTACAGTTCTTGCGAAGCCAGAAAAGACATTGTGAGAGATTTGCCTGTTAAAACTACAGCACACACTCAAGTTGGCTGGACATTGTGAGAGATCTGCATGTTAAAACTACACCACACACTCAAGTTGGCTGGACATTGTGAGAGATCTGCATGTTAAAACTACACCACACACTCAAGTTGGCTGGACATTGTGAGAGATCTGCATGTTAAAACTACACCACACACTCAAGTTGGCTGGACATTGTGAGAGATCTGCATGTTAAAACTACACCACACACTCAAGTTGGCTGGACATTGTGAGAGATCTGCATGTTAAAACTACACCACACACTTAAGTTGGCTGGACATTGTGAGAGATCTGCATGTTAAAACTACTTGTTGTCTCCACAATGGAGGTTAGCTACAGTGTACGCCTGTTGACTTGGGAATGTCACATGCTGACATCATCATCTGCAACGATGAATCTGTGAAGTGTGGACCAAGATCAGCATTCACATCCAGACACATTATCTGCAACGATGGATCTGTGAAGTGTGGACTAAGATCAGCATGGGCATAGACAGAATGGGAACAATAATACAAGAGGACAATTGCGATTTACCAGGCAACCATGTCAAGCGTTACATGGAGATAGCCGCTGATTCTAGAGCAGTAGTATGGGTATCAGAGCAAACAGCCACACAGGCAGTAATTGTATCAGACTATGAATATGCTTCAGAAGATGGCAACAGGCTGTATGCACTCTGAATGGGTAAAAATCATTCAAAAATCGCACTTAACCTCTCTCACCTAGATCTACATACCTGGTCATGTAAGTGTACAGGGTAATGAGCGAGCAGACCAACTGGCAAGCAATACACCAACTCATGTGGGAACAAGAATGGACAGGGTAGATATCGTCAACTTTTACAAGCGTGGATAAGGACAAATTTCTGACATAGGCATGTGACATAGGAGTAATGCATGGTGAAGCTTGTCGAGGCCCATAAAGGAGACATTATAACCAACTTTGTATGGGAACAGTAGGTAGAAGTACCTTAGAGTGGCTGCTGCATTGGAGACCGAGCACGCATGGGAATGCCCAATGTGCAGTGATGTCGATTGTTATAACATAAAAAAACTCTCTCCTGGGTCCACATTGGAATGCTAAAGACCTCATGACCACAACACTATCTACAGGCCCCACACTGGGATCCCCTAGAGTTCAACACTACCTCCAGGCCCCACACTGGGATCCCCTAGAGTACAACTCTACCTCCAGGCCCCTCACTGGGATCCCCTAGAGTTCAACACTACCTCCAGGCCCCACACTGGGATCCCCTAGAGTACAACTCTACCTCCAGGCCCCTCACTGGGATCCCCTAGAGTACAACACTACCTCCAGGCCCCACACTGGGATCCCCTAGAGTACAAATCTACCTCCAGACCCGACACTGGGATCCCCTAGAGTACAACACTACCTCCAGACCCGACACTGGGATCCCCTAGAGTACAACACTACCTCCAGACCCCACACTGGGATCCCATAGAGTACAAATCTACCTCCAGACCCGACACTGGGATCCCCTAGAGTACAACACTACCTCCAGGCCCCACACTGGGATCGCCTAGAGTACAAATCTACCTCCAGACCCGACACTGGGATCCCCTAGAGTACAACACTACCTCCAGACCCCACACTGGGATCTCCTAGAGTACAACTCTACCTCCAGACCCCACACTGGGATCGCCTAGAGTACAAATCTACCTCCAGGCCCCACACTGGGATCGCCTAGAGTACAAATCTACCTCCAGACCCGACACTGGGATCCCCTAGAGTACAACACTACCTCCAGACCCCACACTGGGATCCCCTAGAGTACAACACTACCTCCAGACCCCACACTGGGATCTCCTAGAGTACAACTCTACCTCCAGGCCCCACACTGGGATTCCCTAGAGTACAACTTTACCTATAGGCCCCACACTGGGATTACCTAGAGTACAACACTATCTACAGGCCCCACATTGGGATCCCCTAGAGTACAACTCTACCTTCAAGTTGCGAGATCCGTTCCTCAAGGCCCTTGACCTCCTTGAGTCCCACAGGTCGCTGGGTCACAGGCTGGTCTAGGTCAAGGATCATGTGATAGAGTCCAGAGTTCTGTTGACAGGAGGCAAAAGTGAGTGTGTGAGTGTGCATGTGTGTGCCCACGCATGTGTATGTGCATGTATGCATGCGCATGTGCGTGTGAGTGCATGTGTGTGTGTTTGCACGCACATGTGGGTGTAGATAAAGTAAAAGGACTTCAGTATTTTGAATAACAAAATAATATCTGAATGCTCTGATTCTTCTTCTTCTTCTTTCGTTCGCTTGAAATAGATTATCTATGTCTGCAGTATTGTCTCTAGTATGAACTTCATTGTCTTTTGTAATTCACTCAGCGACCTGTAAAGTTTGACTTGCACCGATGTTTCTCTTGGCCAAATGTTTTGCCTTGATATATTGTATTTGGGACAGTCTTGGAGGACATGCTCTGTTGTCTCAGGTGCCAGTCCACATGTGCACATGGCTGATTCGCCGATTAAAAATGTTGTGCAAATGTGGCTGCGAAGTCGATTGTGCCCTGTTCTAAGGCGTAGAATAATAACTTGCTCTGGTCTGTCCATGAAATGGTCATCATCTTGTGCCAGTTTTGGTGGCTTTCTGATTGATTTGATTTTCTCTTCTATTGTTGATAAGATATTGTTACGTCAGGCTTGTTCTTCATTTGCACCTTCCTTAGCTAGTTTATCAGCTCTTTAATTTCCAGGAACTCCACAGTGAGATGGTATCCATTGCATAGCTAGCTTACACCGGCTGCCTAGTTTGGAGAGTAGTATTCGTATACCAGGTAGTTTTCCAGACTGGAATGCCTGAAGCACCGTTCTTGCATCTGTCAGAAATACCACGGGTTGAGAAATATGACGTATATTTAACAATTTCTCTTCTGCTATTTTGACTGCTTGAACTTCTGCATCATAGTTGTGACAGTGCTTTCATGTAGGTATTTTGGCTGTATGTCTGGTATTATTTGGATGCTCAATATACACTCCTGCTCCTCCATTTCTGCTTGTGTTTTGTGCTGACTCATCCGTATAGACATGAACCCAAAGATTGTATGAGTATTTGTCATTAAATAGAGCGAGGGTGGCTGTTTTACATTGCACACTATTTTGTTCTTCTTTGTCAAATACTCTTTTCACTTCTGTCTGGATGTCTATTGGCAACTTATAATCCTCTTTCCGAGGGTTCTGTCACAACCCTGTGAGTACAGTCATGGGACGGAATGGACCACACAATAGGGTGTACCGTGTTCAGGTCACACCCCAGGGTTGACACAAAGGTCAGTGGTGTGACTGGCCAAGTCTGTGCTGTTTGCACGGTGAAACTATCGCTCAGTAGAGACCACTTGAAGACGACAAGTAAGAGTGAACTCTTTTCCAAACAAGTTCGCAGCATAATTGCCCCATGTTGAATGAGCAGGTGAATGAGTCAAAAGGCACGAGGTGAGAGAATACAGGGGATTCGGTGTACAGTGTTCGGACCAAGCAGACGTGTTAGCGAGACAGTGATAGAATATTAGAGTTAGGATATTTCTTTAGTGACTACATAGATTATTTACAGTGTTCTGTTAGAATAGGATAATATTTTGTGATGTGTATTTAACTGGTATAATGTATTGTGTTGTTTCACAATAAGTAAGTAGTGTCCAGTTACTTCTGACCAGTTAAATCATTTAGGTACACGTTCTGTGAGAGAATGTCTAACCTTGTCACGCGGACCCTGCACTAGACAGAGGCTGCAACATCGTGGTAGGTCAGTGTGTCGATAGGAAAGAGCGTATCCCGCCTAGCTGTGGTTTGTGCACCAGAGATTGCCTGTGGAACGGACTGGAGAGCGAGGCGACTGTAAAGCTCGTTCGGCCAGAGGGTACAGGTAATAGATGGCCACACAGCGGGAAGTCAACTGTTTGTTTTATTACCTGTACTTGCAATAAAGATTGTCGTGTGTGCCCTGTGTGCGTTCGGGTTCAGTGTGTGTTAAAGGTTAGTTTGTCTGTCATAGGCCCAGTTACGAGTCACGGACCATCAAGGTCACCCAGAGGTCTGTGACAGAACCTGATCTGGAATAGCATTTAAAGGGCTATCAGTTGCAAGCAGATCTATGGTTTGCCTGCAAAGTCGTTGGGCCTGGTGGAATGAGTGAGTGAGTGAGTGAGTGAGTGAATGGAGTGAGTGAATGAGTGAGTGAATGGAGTGAGTGAGTGAGTGAGTGAGTGAGTGAGTGAGTGGGTGAGTGAGTGAGTGGAGTGAGGGAGTGGAGTGAGTGAGTGAGTGAGTGAGTGAGTGAGTGAGTGGAGTGAGTGAGTGAGTGAGTGGAGTGAGTGGAGTGAGTGAATGAGTGAGTGGAGTGAGTGAGTGAGTGAGTGAGTGAGTGAGTGAGTGTGGAGTGAGTGAGTGAGTGAGTGAGTGAGTGGAGTGAGTGAGTGAGTGAGTGAGTGGAGTGAGTGAGTGGAGTGAGTGAGTGAGTGTGTGGAGTGAGTGGAGTGAGTGAATGAGTGAGTGGAGTGAGTGAGTGGAGTGAGTGAGTGAGTGTGTGGAGTGAGTGGAGTGAGTGAATGAGTGAGTGGAGTGAGTGAGTGAGTGTGTGGAGTGAGTGAATGAGTGAGTGAATGAGTGAGTGGAGTGAGTGAGTGGAGTGAGTGAGTGAGTGTGTGGAGTGAGTGGAGTGAGTGGAGTAAGTGAGTGGAGTGAGTGGAGTGAGTGGAGTGAGTGAGTGAGTGAGTGAGTGAGTGAGTGAGTGAGTGAGTGAGTGAGTGAGTGAGTGAGTGAGTGAGTGGAGTGGAGTGAGTGAAGTAAGTGAGTGGAGGGAGTGAGTGAGTGAGTGAGTGGAGTGAGTGAGTGGAGTGAGTGAGTGGAGTGAGTGAGTGGAGTGGAGTGGAGTGAGTGAGTGAGTGAAGTGAGTGAGTGAGTGAGTGAGTGAGTGAGTGAGTGAGTGAGGGGAGTGAGTGAGTGAGTGAGTGAGTGAAGTAAGTGAGTGGAGTGAGTGAGTGAGTGAGTGAGTGAGTGAGTGAGTGAGTGAGTGAATGAGTGGAGTGAGTGAAGTAAGTGAGTGGAGTGAGTGAGTGAGTGAGTGGAGTGAGTGAGTGGAGTGAGTGAGTGGAGTGAGTGGAGTGAGTGAGTGGAGTGGAGTGAGTGAGTGAGTGAAGTGAGTGAGTGAGTGAGTGAGTGAGTGAGTGAGTGAGTGAGTGAGTGAGTGGAGTGAGTGAGTGGAGTGAGTGAGTGGAGTGAGTGAGTGGAGTGAGTGAGTGAGTGGAGTGAGTGAGTGAGTGAGTGGAGTGAGTGAAGTGAGTGAGTAAGTGAGTGAGTGAAGTGAGTGAGTGGAGTGAGTGAGTGAGTGAGTGGAGTGAGTGAGTGAGTGAGTGAGTGAGTGAGTGAAGTGAGTGGAGTGAGTGAGTGAGTGAGTGAGTGAGTGGAGTGAGTGAGTGAGTGAGTGAGTGAGTGAGTGAGTGAGTGAGTGAGTGAGTGGAGTGAGTGAGTGAGTGGAGTGAGTGAGTGAGTGAGTGAGTGAGAGAGTGAGTGAGTGAGTGAGTGAGTGGAGTGAGTGAGTGAGTGGAGTGAGTGAGTGAGTGGAGTGAGTGAGTGGAGTGAGTGAGTGGAGTGAGTGGAGTGAGTGAGTGGAGTGAGTGAGTGAGTGAGTGAGTGAGTGAGTGAGTGAGTGGAGTGAGTGAGTGAGTGAGTGAGTGAGTGGAGTGAGTGAGTGAGTGAGTGAGTGGAGTGAGTGAGTGAGTGAGTGAGTGGAGTGAGTGTGAGTGAGTGAGTGAGTGAGTGAGTGAGTGAGTGAGTGAGGTAGTGAGTGGAGTGAGTGAGTGAGTGAGTGAGTGAGTGAGTGAGTGGAGTGAGTGAGTTGAGTGAGTGAGTGAGTGAGTGAGTGAGTGAGTTAATGAGTGAGTGAGTGAGTGAGTGAGTGAGTGAGTGAGTGAGTGAGTGAGTGAGTGGAGTGAGTGAGTGAGTGGAGTGAGTGAGTGAGTGGAGTGAGTGAGTGAGTGAGTGGAGTGAGCGAGTGAGCGAGTGAGCGAGTGAGTGAGTGAGTGAGTGAGTGAGTGAGTGAGTGAGTGAGTGAGTGAGTGAGTGGAGTGAGTGAGTGAGTGAGTGAGTGAGTGAGTGAGTGAGTGAGTGAGTGAGTGAGTGAGTGATGAGTGAGTGAGTGAGTGAGTGGAGTGAGTGAGTTGAGTGAGTGAGTGAGTGGAGTGAGTGAGTGAGTGGAGTGAGTGAGTGAGTGAGTGGAGTGATTAAGTGTGTGAGTGAGTGAGTTAGTGAATTAACTCATGGAATTTGCTACTGAAACAACCACATCTGCCAGCATACCTCAAACACTTTCTCCACAGTTGCCCCGTCTCTGCCATCATCTCCCTTGTCACGGCTGCCAAGCTGAGTAAACATCTGCAGAGGGTAATTTTTCATTTACTGATGTCAAAACATTTTACAGACCCAGTCTGGGGTAAACATTTGATTACAACAAGCTAGACATTTATGACACAAGCTGAGGAAAACATATTACTGGGACAAACTAGGAAAGTCAATTTACTGACATAAGCAAGGGAAGACATTTTACTGAGCAAAGAAGTGAAAGTATCTACATAGATACACTATGGAAAACATTTTACTTGGACAATCAGAGGAGACATTTTACTGGGATAAACAAAGGAAGTGGACTTAACAATGTTAATAGAAGAATTCATTATCATTATTGCCCTCTTGTGCCATCTATATGACACACTAGACACATAATTTATTTATTCCATTCTGTCGGTGCAACTCTTTCAATCTCATGGCTGAAATCCAGTCCATCACTTTATGCTTCTCTCATTCATGTTAACCTTGGAAAGTCTTGTTTCTTCTAGCCATCTTCTCTCATTCATGTTGACCTTCTTGGCAAGCCTTGTTTCCTCTAGCCATCTTCTCTCATTCATGTTGACCTTCTTGGGAAGCCTTGTTTCCTCTAGCCATCTTCTCTCATTCATGTTGACCTTCTTGGGAAGCCTTGTTTCCTCTAGCCATCTTCTCTCATTCATGTTGACTTTCTTGGCAAGCCTTGTTTCCTCTAGCCATCTTCTCTCATTCATGTTGACTTGAAGAGATTAAAAATGAAGATACTCTGCTAGAATAGAGGAGCAAGCTGCCTGAGTGACTAGAACATCTGCTAGAATAGAGGAGCAAGCTGTCTGAGTGACTAGAACATCTGCTAGAATAGAGGAGCAAGATGCCTGAGTGACTAGAACATCTGCTAGAATAGAGGAGCAAGCTGCCTGAGTGACTAGAACATCTGCTAGAATAGGGGAGCAAGCTGCCTGAGTGACTAGAACATCTGCTAGAATAGAGGAGCAAGCTGCCTGAGTGACTAGAACATCTGCTAGAATAGGGGAGCAAGCTGTCTGAGTGACTAGAACATCTGCTAGAATAGGGGAGCAAGCTGCCTGAGTGACTAGAACATCTGCTAGAATAGGGGAGCAAGCTGCCTGAGTGACTAGAACATCTGCTAGAATAGGGGAGCAAGCTGCCTGAGTGACTAGAACATCTGCTAGAATAGAGGAGCAAGCTGCCTGAGTGACTAGAAGATCTGCTAGAATAGGGGAGCAAGCTGCCTGAGTGACTAGAACATCTGCTAGAATAGAGGAGCAAGCTGCCTGAGTGACTAGAACATCTGCTAGAATAGGGGAGCAAGCTGCCTGAGTGACTAGAACATCTGCTAGTATAGGGGAGCAAGCTGCCTGAGTGACTAGAACATCTGCTAGAATAGGGGAGCAAGCTGCCTGAGTGACTAGAACATCTGCTAGAATAGAGGAGCAAGCTGTCTGAGTGACTAGAACATCTGCTAGAATAGGGGAGCAAGCTGCCTGAGTGACTAGAACATCTGCTAGAATAGGGGAGCAAGCTGCCTGAGTGACTAGAACATCTGCTAGAATAGAGGAGCAAGCTGCCTGAGTGACTAGAACATCTGCTAGAATAGGGGAGCAAGCTGCCTGAGTGACTAAAACATCTGCTAGAATAGGGGAGCAAGCTGCCTGAGTGACTAGAACATCTGCTAGAATAGAGGAGCAAGCTGTCTGAGTGACTAGAACATCTGCTAGAATAGAGGAGCAAGATGCCTGAGTGACTAGAACATCTGCTAGAATAGAGGAGCAAGCTGCCTGAGTGACTAGAACATCTGCTAGAATAGGGGAGCAAGCTGCCTGAGTGACTAGAACATCTGCTAGAATAGGGGAGCAAGCTGCCTGAGTGACTAGAACATCTGCTAGAATAGAGGAGCAAGCTGCCTGAGTGACTAGAACATCTGCTAGAATAGGGGAGCAAGCTGCCTGAGTGACTAGAACATCTGCTAGAATAGGGGAGCAAGCTGCCTGAGTGACTAGAACATCTGCTAGAATAGAGGAGCAAGCTGCCTGAGTGACTAGAACATCTGCTAGAATAGAGGAGCAAGCTGCCTGAGTGACTAGAACATCTGCTAGAATAGAGGAGCAAGCTGCCCTGAGTGACTAGAACATCTGCTAGAATAGAGGAGCAAGCTGCCTGAGTGACTAGAACATCTGCTAGAATAGGGGAGCAAGCTGCCTGAGTGTGACTAGAACATCTGCTAGAATAGGGGAGCAAGCTGCCTGAGTGACTAGAAACATCTGCTAGAATAGGGGAGCAAGCTGCCTGAGTGACTAGAACATCTGCTAGAATAGAGGAGCAAGCTGCCTGAGTGACTAGAACATCTGCTAGAATAGGGGAGCAAGCTGTCTGAGTGACTAGAACATCTGCTAGAATAGGGGAGCAAGCTGCCTGAGTGACTAGAACATCTGCTAGAATAGAGGAGCAAGCTGCCTGAGTGACTAGAACATCTGCTAGAATAGAGGAGCAAGCTGCCTGAGTGACTAGAACATCTGCTAGAATAGGGGAGCAAGCTGCCTGAGTGACTAGAACATCTGCTAGAATAGAGGAGCAAGCTGCCTGAGTGACTAGAACATCTGCTAGAATAGGGGAGCAAGCTGCCTGAGTGACTAGAACATCTGCTAGAATAGAGGAGCAAGCTGCCTGAGTGACTAGAAACATCTGCTAGAATAGAGGAGCAAGCTGCCTGAGTGACTAGAACATCTGCTAGAATAGGGGAGCAAGCTGCCTGAGTGACTAGAACATCTGCTAGAATAGGGGAGCAAGCTGCCTGAGTGACTAGAACATCTGCTAGAATAGAGGAGCAAGCTGCCTGAGTGACTAGAACATCTGCTAGAATAGGGGAGCAAGCTGCCTGAGTGACTAGAACATCTGCTAGAATAGGGGAGCAAGCTGCCTGAGTGACTAGAACATCTGCTAGAATAGAGGAGCAAGCTGCCTGAGTGACTAGAACATCTGCTAGAATAGGGGAGCAAGCTGCCTGAGTGACTAGAACATCTGCTAGAATAGGGGAGCAAGCTGCCTGAGTGACTAGAACATCTGCTAGAATAGAGGAGCAAGCTGCCTGAGTGACTAGAACATCTGCTAGAATAGAGGAGCAAGCTGCCTGAGTGACTAGAACATCTGCTAGAATAGAGGAGCAAGCTGCCTGAGTGACTAGAACATCTGCTAGAATAGAGGAGCAAGCTGCCTGAGTGACTAGAACATCTGCTAGAATAGGGGAGCAAGCTGCCTGAGTGACTAGAACATCTTCTAGAATAGGGGAGCAAGCTGCCTGAGTGACTAGAACATCTGCTAGAATAGGGGAGCAAGCTGCCTGAGTGACTAGAACATCTGCTAGAATAGAGGAGCAAGCTGCCTGAGTGACTAGAACATCTGCTAGAATAGGGGAGCAAGATGTCTGAGTGACTAGAACATCTGCTAGAATAGGGGAGCAAGCTGCCTTTATGACGACTAGGTCACATGCCGCTACTTCCTGGCAGGGTCATGGAAATCTAAGGAAAGATCAAGGCAGGTTCAAGGCTCATACAGATGGCAAATACCCAACGACATGAGAGAAGCTAAACAGCAGAAGCTGGAGAAAGTCAGAATGATGCTTGGAGTCTCTCACTGGTTTACATTTAATTAAATGCCACACAAAAATAGCTAGGATCATTATCATTTTAGTAAGATCAGGATTAAAAATGAAACAGGAGAAAGAGGAGTATGAGATTGGCAACAACAACAACAAAATCATAATAGCAATGTTTTAATAATATTAATAATACTATGTACATATGTCTAAACTGTCTGGTCTATCCAGAAACATATTTTTAAAACGTGGCTATATTTAGGGTGACCTGCTACTCTTGCTTCAGGCTCTGAGAATTGAATACACTCATAAAAGACATCACTAGTGACTAGATACTGGTGAAAGTTGTCATCTGTACTTGCCTGGTGAAGGTTGTCATCTGTACCTGCCTGTTGAAGGTTGTCATCTGTACCTGCCTGTTGAAGATTGTCATCTGTACTTGCCTGTTGAAGGTTGTCATCTGTACTTGCCTGTTGAAGGTTGTCATCTGTACTTGCCTGTTGAAGGTTGTCATCTGTACTTGCCTGTTGAAGGTTGTCATCTGTACTTGCCTGTTGAAGGTTGTCATCTGTACATGCCTGGTGAAGGTTGTCATCTGTACCTGCCTGGTGAAGGTTGTCATCTGTACCTGCCTGGTGAAGGTTGTCATCTGTACCTGCCTGGTGAAGGTTGTCATCTGTACCTGCCTGTTGAAGGTTGTCATCTGTACCTGCCTGTTGAAGGTTGTCATCTGTACTTGCCTGGTGAAGGTTGTCATCTGTACCTGCCTGGTGAAGGTTGTCATCTGTACTTGCCTGGTGAAGGTTGTCATCTGTACCTGCCTGTTGACGGTTGTCATTTGTACCTGCCTGTGAAGGTCTTGCCTGATCTGCCTGGTGAAGGTTGTCATCTGTACTTGCCTGTTGAAGGTTGTTATCTGTACTTGCCTGTTGAAGATTGTCATCTGTACTTGCGTGGTGAAGGTTGTCATCTGTACTTGCCTGGTGAAGGTGGTCATCTGTACTTGGTAGATTTAAAAACTTCTAGACTGACCGGCCTAAACTGTGTACCAGTAAAAACCTGGAACTAAATGGTGGCTGGTGTCATGTTGACCTCATCATACATCAAGTAGCAATTGTTTGATGAATACGTGAATGTAGCAACACAAGTGTCTCAGTGTCAAAAGGATACTTTACAAAAAAGACTGAAAGTATGTAGTCATACAATCCATCAGCAAAGTACAGATGAAATGTTTTGGCCATCTGCCAAGAATGCCTTGGTTCCAACTACTACAGAGTCACGCCAAAGAATGTTAATAAGTGCATAGCAGAGAGAAGACCAGGCAAAAGACAGAACAGCATCAAGAACAACCACAGAGACAGGAGACCAGCTTACCCAAGCTCAGTGTTGTCTTGCTGTATGATTTGTTGTTTTACAAAGATAACACTCAACAATGTGAGCAGAAATAATAAATGAATGTAATTGTGGCTTACCTCCTCTAGACAAACATCTGGCGTGTCCACCAAGAGAGAATCAATGACAACCTCTGGTGTTCCAGACTGAACGTAATAATAAGCCACCACCGTCATTTTGGGGCTGATTTCCGTATAGAGATGAGACGGAAGAATGACATTTGACCTTCCATTGAAGTTTCTCACACTTGTAGTTGTAAAAATAATGTGACCTTTGGCAAGAACCTATAACATGTAGAAAAATCATTCAGAATTCACAAACCCATTGAATAAATCAATATACTCATGGCACTATAGATTCAGTACTGAATGTATCTATGTATCTATAAGACTGAAGATTCAGTACAGAATGTATCTATGTATCTGTAAGACTGAAGATTCAGTACAGAATGTATCTATGTATCTATAAGACTGAAGATTCAGTACTGAATGTATCTATGTATCTATAAGACTGAAGATTCAGTACTGAATGTATCTATGTATCTATAAGACTGAAGATTCAGTACTGAATGTATCTATGTATCTGTAAGACTGAAGATTCAGTACAGAATGTATCTATGTATCTATAAGACTGAAGATTCAGTACTGAATGTATCTATGTATCTATAAGACTGAAGATTCAGTACTGAATGTATCTATGTATCTATAAGACTGAAGATTCAGTACTGAATGTATCTATGTATCTATAAGACTGAAGATTCAGTACTGAATGTTTCTATGTATCTATAAGACTGAAGATTCAGTACTGAATGTATCTATGTATCTGTAAGAATGAAGATTCAGTACTGAATGCGTCTATGTATCTATAAGACTGAAGATTCAGTACTGAATGTATCTATGTATCTATAAGACTGAAGATTCAGTACTGAATGTATCTATGTATCTATAAGACTGAAGATTCAGTACTGAGTGTATCTATGTATCTATAAGACTGAAGATTCAGTACAGAATGTATCTATGTATCTATAAGACTGAAGATTCAGTACTGAATGTATATATGTATCTATAAGACTGCAGATTCAGTACTGAATGTATCTATGTATCTGTAAGACTGAAGATTCAGTACTGAATGTATCTAGTATCTATAAGACTTAAGATTCAGTACTGAATGTGTCTATGTATCTATAAGACTGAAGATTCAGTACTGAATGTATCTATGTATCTATAAGACTGAAGATTCAGTACTGAATGTATCTATGTATCTATAAGACTGAAGATTCAGTACTGAATGTATCTATGTATCTATGAGACTGAAGATTCAGTACTGAATGTATCTATGTATCTATAAGACTGAAGATTCAGTACTGAATGTATCTATGTATCTGTAAGACTAAAAATTCAGTACTGAATGTATCTAGTATCTATAAGACTGAAGATTCAGTACTGAATGTATCTATGTATCTATAAGACTGAAGATTCAGTACTGAATGTATCTATGTATCTATAAGACTGAAAATTCAGTACAGAATGTATCTATGTATCTATGAGACTGAAGATTCAGTACTGAATGTATCCATGTATCTATAAGACTGAAGATTCAGTACTGAATGTATCTATGTATCTATAAGACTGAAGATTCAGTACTGAATGTATCTATGTATCTATAAGACTGAAGATTCAGTACTGAATGTATCTATGTATCTATAAGACTGAAGATTCAGTACTGAATGTATCTATGTATCTATAAGACTGAAGATTCAGTACTGAATGTATCTATGTATCTATAAGACTGAAGATTCAGTACTGAATGTATCTATGTATCTATAAGACTGAAGATTCAGTACTGAAATGTATCTATGTATCTATAAGACTGAAGATTCAGTACTGAATGTATCTATGTATCTATAAGACTGAAGATTCAGTACTGAATGTGTCTATGTATCTATAAGACTGAAGATTCAGTACTGAATGTATCTATGTATCTATAAGACTGAAGATTCAGTACTGAATGTATCTATGTATCTATAAGACTGAAGATTCAGTACTGAATGTATCTATGTATCTATAAGACTGAAGATTCAGTACTGAATGTATCTATGTATCTATAAGACTGAAGATTCAGTACTGAATGTATATATGTATCTATAAGACTGCAGATTCAGTACTGAATGTATCTATGTATCTGTAAGACTGAAGATTCAGTACTGAATGTATCTAGTATCTATAAGACTGAAGATTCAGTACTGAATGTATCTATGTATCTATAAGACTGAAGATTCAGTACTGAATGTATCTATGTATCTATAAGACTGAAGATTCAGTACAGAATGTATCTATGTATCTATAAGACTGAAGATTCAGTACTGAATGTATCTATGTATCTATGAGACTGAAGATTCAGTACAGAATGTATCTATGTATCTATAAGACTGAAGATTCAGTACTGAATGTATCTATGTATCTATAAGACTGAAGATTCAGTACTGAATGTATCTATGTATTTATAAGTCTGAAGATTCAGTACTGAATGTATCTATGTATCTATGAGACTGAAGATTCAGTACAGAATGTATCTATGTATCTATAAGACTGAAGATTCAGTACAGAATGTATCTATGTATCTATAAGACTGAAGATTCAGTACTGAATGTATCTATGTATCTATGAGACTGAAGATTCAGTACTGAACATATCTATTTAATTATGAGACCACAGATATGACTTGTTTAAAAAAGAAGGCAATCAAAACAAAACAAAACACAAGCTTACATTGACCAGTGACACACCAGAACACGGCATAAGTGTTTACAAATGTAGGTTTATAATGGGAATCAATTATGTCAAGAAGTCATCTAATAGAGAATTGTGCAGACACTGTCCACTAGTGTCTAGTACTTGGCCTGTAGCGAGGTAGACTTGTATCACTATTTATCTTTTTGTTGCCTGGTTTCAACGTATCCTTCACTATGGTCTATTACTTTAACGTAAATACTTCATATATATATATATGTGTGTGTGTATGTGTGTGTATGTGTGTGTGTGTGCGTATCTGTCTGTCTGTCTGTCTGTCTGTCTGTCTGTCTGTCTTTCTGTCTGTCTGTCTGTCTGTCTGTCTGTCTGTCTGTCTGTCTGTCTGTCTGTCTGTCTGTCTGTCTGTCTGTCTGTCTGTCTGTCTGTCTCTGTCTCTCTCTCTCTCTCTCTCTCTCTCTCTCTCTCTCTCTCTCTCTCTCTCTTTCATTAACTTGTTATTTATCCCCAGTCTCTCCCTACAATTTGTGTTGGCGTAAATTTCCATGAAATATGACCTGTCTTTCTAAATATCTGTAGCTTGTTCATTGTCCAGGTAGTGTTGAGTATACGCCACCAAATTATCATTTTTTCCATGCATTGTTTACCTGTCCATATGTTCATATTCATGTTGTGGAGAATATTACTAATCATTCTTATTCTCGGTTAAGTTTCTATTTTACCTCTCCTATGATCTAGTAACACATTTTGAAGATAGGAGAAATTGTTTTTGTATTTCTCCATTTCTTTTGGAAAATTACTGTTGCCAGATTTTAAAATGTTTATTCTTTTTTTTTTTTTTTCATAATTGTTCATCCATTGTCAATCAGAAGGCAGCCTTTACAGTGCTTGTAAGCTGAAGGTCAAAACTAGGATAACTTATCAGAGAGCTGTTGTTGGCAGATCATGCAGCAATTATCACCCACTTAGAGGTGGAGCTGAAATGTTTATTTTCTGCATTTATGTTATCATAATTTACATCACTGCACATTAGGCATTTCCATGCGTGCTCAGTCCTCCAATGCAGCAGCCACTTTAAGGTACTTAGACTAATTGTTCCCACGAGAGGTTATAATGTCTCCTATCTCAGCCTTGAAAGCGGCAAAGACATGCTTCACCATGCTTTACTCTCCATGTCCTACAATCGTGTTAGTGTCAGAAATTCCTCATTATCCAAAAGCCCCGTCTGTACAGTTTTGATGATATCTGCTCAGTCCATGCTTCTTGCCACATGAGCTGGTGCACACAGCTATGAAGGTTCAGTTGGCTGGGTCACACCTGGAGCATGAAGGATGGCAGAGTCTCTAAGGACATCATTCATGGTGAATTAAAAATAGATAGATGTCAAGGCCTGACTTCTGCTATGATATAAAGATGTGTGCAAGTGGGACATGAATGATACAGGTATTGAGGTGGACTCCTGGGAACAAAGGCCATGGACTGTGTTGTTTGGAGGGGGCACATCAGAACAGGAATGAGAATGAAGAAAGAAATTTTGACAGAAAGGATGAGAGCTGAGCATCTGAGAAGAAACAGACTAAACACAAATGTTGACAACAATGGTCCTGAGATCCCATGCTATCATTATGGAAGAGATTTGTTAACCTGGACTGGTCTTGCTAGTCATATTCGCCATCGCCATGTGCTGTGTTCTTTGCCTCCTCACAGCGCAGCATAACACTATCATCTGGAAACACTGAAAAGTGCCATGGCAATGCAAACTTTTCATTTTATTTTATTTTTTAATATAAAATTCATGCTCTGCACTGTAGCTGTTTACCTGCAGCACTAGGTCTTGTAAGTAATAAACACTGTGTCATCAACATCATCAACATCATCAACATCATCAACATCATCAACATCATCAACATCATCAACATCATCAACATCATCAACATCATCATTCATCATCAGCAGTCAACATCATCAACATCATCAACATCATCAACATCATCAACATCATCAACATCATCAACATCATCAACATCATCAACATCATCAACATCATCAACATCATCAACATCATCAACATCATCAACATCATCAACATCATCAACATCATCAACATCATCAACATCATCAACATCATCAACAACACTTACCAAAACTGTCAGGTCATTGAGCTTTTTTGAGAGTGACTGCTTCGGCTGAGTGTACCGCAGCAACAGGCTGCCATCTTGATTTGTCTGTCCAACATAAAATATAATGATGTTCTTTTTTTTTTCTGGGGGTGGAGGTTTAGGGTGTGGCTTGGAAGTAGACATGTCTCATAGTAGATCTGTCTCATAGTAGACCTGTCTCATAGTAGACCTGTCTCATAGTAGACCTTCTCATAGTAGACCTGTCTCATAGTAGATCAGTCTCACAATAGACTGTCTTATAGTAGACCTGCCTCATAGTAGACCTGTCTCATAGTAGATCTGTCTCACAATAGACTGTCTCATAGTAGACATGTCTCATAGCAGACCTGTCTCATAGTAGACAT